GATTGTGATGGGCTCAGGTTGGGTAGCATTTGTGCAGTGTCTATGCTAGGAGAGAGCTGAAGGAGACATTGAAATGATGAGACGGAGGGACATGACAAAGAAAAAACAGCATCTCTGACCAACTCTGGTATAGAGGGACAGCAAAAACCAAGGGTCTTACAAGGTTCACCACTTGATATCTGTTCACCTAAAATCTTGATGATGCAGTTATATGCAGTGAAATTATTGTATGGTGTGGACCATGGCTTGGCATAGTTTCTGTGCATTTAGTTGTTGAAATAGTTATGTATTATGTAAATAACTATAAATTCTGAATTATCATTCATAATCTTATGTAATTGTTGGTTAAGGACGGGAAAGGTTATTTATTGGAGTGTATTTTTTTAATTTTTTAATAAGTTTCTATATATTTTAAGGACTTTTTTTTTTAAGTTTAGGATTTTTTTAATAAGATTTATTGTAAAATACTAAATACTATTAATATAAAATTTAAAATAATTATAATAAAATTAACAACTTTATTTTACGTTTTTATGATTACATGGACTACTTATTTTTTTTTTAATTTACAAAACAATTTTAATAAAATTAATGGTGTTGTTGGTAGTGTAAAAAAAAATATTGAAAAGTATTTTAAATGTTAGTATAATTTATTTCATAATCACATTAATAGAATTTAAATCTTAAATAAACTATTTGGGTCATGTCTGTTTACAGGACAATGGAGATTAAAAAATATTCGAGTAAAAAAATATAAAATTTATTTTCTTTATTTAATAAAATAAGAAAAAAAATAAAAATATGCTATTTTTCAAAATTTTAATTATAATATTTTAATAAAATTTAATAAATATGAAAATATAATAAAAATTTATAATAAAAAATATTTTATAATTATATATTATTCTAAATCTTAAACTTTAAACTCTATAGCTTAATTTAAAGATGTTAATTGAAAAACTATTTTGTTGATAAAATTAATTAATAATTATACAAAATGATTTTATAGTTATCAAATATTTATATTTATTTATTATTTTTAAATAAAACATATTTTCTATATTGTTTTAAAAAATAAATATATTTTTATCTTATTTTTTTCTGTTTTCATATTTTTTTCTTTCTTTCTGAAAAATATCTGTATAAATGTAATAGGTTTTTATCCCTGACCACACAAAATTTAATTTATTAATTTTTTATTTAAAATGAAGAACTAGATGCAGTATTATATACAATGATAGAAATAAATGCAGCGTTTGAATTCAAACAAAGTCTTAGAAGATGAAGCACTAGAAATATTTTTCATACGATTTATATTGAACAAAAATATTGGTTAACAATTCAAATATTAAATTCCATTTCTTCCTCAGTTATTTCAAAATATATGTAAAAAATTTAAATAAATAAAGTAAGAAAATAAAGAATATTAAATTTTATTGTTTTATTTAAGCATAAAAAATATAGATTAAAAAATATTTTATCTTTCATTAATTTTTTATTTTCGTAACATTTTTCCTTTTTTATTTTATTTTATTATTGTTTTCTATATGTTCCATATATTTGTAAAAAATTAATAATAAATAAGATTCTATTTTAAGATATTTTTAAATTTACTTTATTTATTTTTATTTTATATTATAAAATATCAATTATCTTTTGTTTTATTTAGTTAATAATATAAATATATAATATATATTACTTAAATTTCTTTATTGTTATTATATTGATATGTTTAAATTTATTTATTCTTATTTTTAAATAAACATAATTATAAATAGATAAAAATGGTAAAAGAAACAAAAAAGTAAGTGAATTAATAAAATAATAATAATTAAAAATAAATTTAATAGATGAATTAATAAATTAAAAAATAATTAATATTTTCATCTTATCTAAATCATCAAACAATCATTACTATGTTTAAATTCATAATTGTTTCCAGTAACTATATTTATATTTTATTTCAATTAAATATAATTAGTAAACATGTAGTTAAAAATTGAATTTGAAAGAATAAAAAAAAACTATGTATAGTAGTATTAATTTAGACATGAATGGAAAGAGTTGATATCACGTGATATGGCGAGTGTTTTGCAACGGAGGAGGATGGATGAGGTGACATTCACATGATGTCTGCCTCTGCCCAACCTTTCTTTCATCACGCAACATTGTCCCCACACCACAACGCTGTCCCTTTCTCTTAGGACATAATTTACCACCACTCCCACAATAATTATACTACCTACCCATATCTTCTTTATTTATTTTTCTATATTGGTTATTTCTTTTACAATAAAATGTAAATTTGTATGTTCTAAACTACTTTAAAACTTAATAAAATAATATAAATATTACAATTTTTATTAATTACAAATATTAATTTATTATATATTTTTAAAAATAAAAATTATATAATTAAAATATTCATTTTACATGCTTCATCTAATTATTAATAGATATTTTAATATTATATATAATAATAATAATAATATATTTAAAATTAGTGTTTTAATATTATAAAATATTTACTATCTCCAAAGTGAAACTAAATTAAATATTTTTTATATTTATGTATAAATTTAGTTCACTGGTTTTTAAAAATTAAATTGATTTACATACTTGTGATTATATATAAAAATTAAATTTCCGTTTTGTTGAATAAAAGGGGCGTAATGCCTACTTGATATTAACTTTCATAAGCATGCCATGGCATATTAAAATGCTAGTGAAAATGTAATATCTGATTGGGCTTAGGCCCTTTTATCGACTAAAATGAAGAGTTAATATTTCAATATACATTGGGCTTAGTCATTCTTTTGGGCTACAGATTACAACTTCTAAATTTCCTCTCTTTGGTTTTATTTCACAGGAACAAAAATAAAGAAATAAAATATCAAAATTTTCTTTTTACTTATTGATTGAGGAGGGTAGGAGAAAAAAAAATGTATATAATCTCATACCCTATCCCAAAACCAATTATTAAATAAAAATATTATAAAATTAGAAATGTGATTTTAGTTTGTTGAATAAAATAATAATATAAAACATTTCTTTATATGATTTTAATAATATGAACTTAGCAAGAAACCTAAAGTGATATACTTTTTCTTTTATGATGTAAGCGATTGTATAAAACTTTTCCAAAATCAAATCCTCTGACATCATAAATAAGTGTAGATTTCAAATATTTCCTACCATTATGAGAACATTCGTACTTATTGAATAATGTTTATTTTCTGTAAACAAGAACAAACATAAGATAAATTTATGTTTAGAATAAAAAAAGGTGAACCTGGAAAAAATTCTCCAAATAAAGATAACATAAATTAAAGCTTTATATGAGGTAGATTGAAAAAAAAAAAACTACCACAAGGATCTAATACTCAACTTCACTTAGCTTCTTCAAGTTTATGGTTTTTCCTCTTGAAGAAATAGGCTGTGAACATTTAACTTATATTTATGCTTCTTAGAGTACTTAAATTCTCCCTTGAAGAACCTTCTTGATTGGTTCCAGATGTTAAAATGCCTTCCTTTAGTCATTATTCAATTTCTCGTGAATTTTCTTTTTCACACCTTTTAGTACCAAAGATTCAACCAGAAAACTTGTCATTTTATGGTTCTTAACCGCCACTTTTTTAATAAAATAATTAAAAAATAGGTGTGATATAAAAAAGTCACTGTGATAATTCTATTTTTTATTTTAAAATATAATAATTATTAAATAAATTTAAAAATTGAATGTTGAATATTAATAGATCAGTTTTTTTTTTTAAGTTTTTATGTAGTAAAAAAATTATATGAAATAGAATTATATAATACAAAATCATCTTTAGATAGCTAAATAAAACTATAATATCAAATAAAGGTCAATAATATGAAAATATATGTAATAAAATTAAACATATTATAGAATTAAAATATAAAATATAAATAAAATATTAGTAAATTTAATAATAAAAAGTATTAATAATTTTAGAACAGTAAAATATAATAAAATAAATTTTTAAATTTAAAATATCAGTAGGCGTTATAAAAATTAGAATGTTTAAAAAAATTATTGTGTTATTAATATTAAAATTTTAAACTTTATTAATATTTATTATATTTTAAAATAATATAGATTATTATATTTTCAATTTTAAATACTTTGTTAATTGAGATTTTGATAGTTACGTAAAATATTGCTATTAATTAAATGATTTTTAAAGTCACCCTTAGTTATATTTTAATTTATACGAAAAAATATAAAAATGTATTAGTTATAAACTTTTAGGGAATATTTGCATCAATAAGAAAATTAAGGATTAAATTGAACCAAAACTGAAAAAAGATAAAAATAAACTAACCCTATAAACACAAAATACTCTCCAACAATTTAGTATGAAATGTTTTAGGATGATACCAAATCTATAATTTTTTTTAAGTCTATTTTTAAAATTAGATGACTTAATAATTGATCAAATTGGACCTAAAATGGGCCTACAAGTGGATAAATTGGTGTTGATAAATAATAAAAATTGGATCTAAAAATGGGTTAGTAAACCGAGTAATAAATCTTAGATTTGGATTGACTATTTATTAATCTAAGTATTAATCATAGCTTTTAACATGTTATGTTATTTATTTACAACCTACTTCCACACTTGTGTATGATAAATACATGATGTTGTCTATGATGATCTCGGGTCTAAGACAACCAGGAAATTATATACATGTATATCTTAGTCTATTGATTGAAGATTTGAAACCTTTATGGGATGAAGGTTTTAGGTGTTTGACGAATTTCCACATGAGTCTTTCAAGATGCATGTCATGTTATTTTACACTATCAATGATTTTCCTGCATATGGAAACTTGTCGAGGTTATAGTGTAAAGAGTCGTAAAGCTTGTCTTATTTGTCAAGAAAAATACTAAAGCAACTCGAAACATGGTAGGAAGATAGTTTATCTTTGACATCGGAGATTTCTAAAATAATTCACCTTATTATCAATTGAGAAAAGCTTTTAATGGACATCAAGAGAATACTTGATGCACCAACTCCGGGTGAAAGATATTAATGTTGTGTTTGGAAAAAAA